AATATAATACAATATAAAACAAGTACATAAAATGTATTTCTTTATATAACTTTAACTTATTACTGTTCTTTTTAAAATAAAATAAAAAAGTAGCTTTAAAAACTTTTATTCATTTTCTAATAGTTTTGCTCACATTCGAGATTACACGTAGCTTAAATTCAGTACAATCCACAACCACAACGACCGCCCGCAGCTTGTCCAAAGTTCAAACCAGCAATTCCTGCATGTCCACAAGTCGAACCATATTCAGCAACACCGGGGATAATGCCAGCTGATCCAAATCCCATAGCACCACCTGAGTTACCAACTTCACTTGTAATAGCTGTGATTCCATTACCACAACCATAATGGACGGCACCAGCACCAGCAGAAGGTAGTACTCCCTCGAAAGCTACAGCACTTAAGAAGGGTAGATCACCAATAACATTCAGAGAACCTTCGTAAGCATTCTCAGACGCTACGGATATACCACTGGGAGCTATTGAGGCGACGCTATGGATAGGAAAACCTCCGCCATTGCTGAGTGTACCTTCAATACCTGCACCGCTAAATCCAGAACCAGCACCGATACCAAGACCAAATCCACCTCCTAAAGCGTAGCCATTTCCGATGTGCGAACCACATGATGAAGCACCAGCATACTGGGTAATTAATCCCCACGTATGTTCCCCTCCAGACCGACAACATTGACTGATTACAGCCTGGAAATTAAAATTTTTCAAACTTAACATTAAGTTCCTTTTTAAATTACAATAAAATCAATGCCCTATGTCAATTTCATATATGTATTATTTTATGTCTGCCGCATTATATTTCTATGAAGATGGACTGAGATAGAATGCCCCATGGCATTAAGTCCGCCTTTGTGCAACATGTGCATTAAGTTTTAAATAAATAAAAATAACGGTAAAGTAGTGGTTACGGTTATGGAAAATTACAACTTTCATAGTAAAAATGTAGTAAATTAAAAAATAAGCAACTTTGAAAAAAAATTAAACCTTAAGAACTTACGTGAGCAAAAAGCGCTTGAGCGCAAAGTACGACGATAGCTTTGGCTGACATTTTCAAGTGTTCTAGGGAAAGATGTGAATAGGAATGATATACACTACCTTTTGCACCTGTTTTTATACAAAACTTTGATATCAGTCCACGCGCAATTCGTCTATGAACAATGTGTCTGTAATATGCGATAAATATTGCACGTTAGCGAAAAAAAATTGTTTTCTCACGTAAAGTGATAACGTCAATGTCAACGGTGTATCCTTTAGTATAAAAGGGTGTCAAAGGTTTCCCTGACCATTCACACTTCTGCTTTTCTTTGATCAGTAAGAAAAGAAACAAATTACCATGAACACATTCACTATTTTATTGTTCTGCATTCAAGCTTGCCTGGTACAAGTAAGTTAATGTTACATGTTTCATTTATAATTGTAGTTCTCACTTTAAATTTTTTTAAACACTCTTTTTGTTTATTATATAAATAAACTTATTTTCGTCAAACTACAATAATTGACACATAGAAAATATTAAGGAGACTAATTCGTTAAGAGTTTGTATTAACTGGACCAATCCTCCCTCACGGCTACTATCGTAACTCTTGTACACCATCATCAACAACAGTGACCCATGAATGACAGTCAGGAAGTCCCAGATAAAATTAAACTGTCTTGGAATACGCAACAAAATTATTAGAAGTAAATTGGAGGAGTCAATAATAATAATTTAAAATAGTAATTTTTATTGACATATAAAAGAAGTGCAATGCTTACATACATATATTATCACAACAGCATCAGTGGAAACTTGAGTCATGGGTACCAGTTCTTCTCACAGTTGTAGACTTATGATAAGTCGCGTATGTGCCTGCGTGCCTGCGTGCGTTTCTCTCTCTCTCTCTCTGTGTGTGTGTGTGTCTTTTTAATTTTATAGCACTGTGAGTCTCATTAACTTCTTGGTTGTGTCGTAATCCTGTTTAAGTAACCAGTTCATTACTTTGGTTTTGCATTGTCTTTTCGCAAGGTGATGGATCTGGCAATGCTTGTTTAGGGTGTTGTAAAGATGAACTGCGATAATACGAATAATAGTTAATAACGATAATAGTTGGAAATATACTAAATGCAATTCCCGCCTTAACAAAGCGGGAGACAAAAACGAAGTAAAAATAGGCATACACCCTGTTAAACAGGGAAGCACCGCAGGATATATTAATATTATAGTACAATTAATTTCAATAAACTACATTTTACAGAATGTAATCAGCCAATGCATCCATGGGACTGGAGCACTTCGATCGATTGCGCCTTCTGCCATTACTTCAAGATATGGCTGTGGAAGTGGAGGGGCCGGTCTCGGAGGTGTAGGTCTTTTTGGTAACGCTGGTGAACTTGGATATGGAGTTTCATCAGCCGGTGCTTACGGTGGTGTAGGTGAAGGTAACGTGGCAGTCATCGGTGAGCTGCCTGTTGCCGGTAACACCGCTGTTATTGGTCAAGTGCCCATTTTGGGTGCTGTAAGCTTTGGGGGTAACGTGCCAGCTGCTGGCTGTGTCTCCATCAACGGCAGATGTGCCTGCGAATGTGGTTACTGAATAAACAATAAAATTGTAACTTACAAGTAACCGAAAATACAACATTGATTGTCAAGTTTTTTAATTGTTTTATTACAATTCGATTATTACCTGTCGAATTATCATCTATATTGGAAACCAAAATATATTATGTATACTAATATTATAAAGCTGATAAGTTTGTCTGTTTGCTTGGTTGACCCCCAATCTCAGGAACTACTGGTCCGAATGTATTCGATATTGTTTTGGTGTATAGTATATATATATAGGCGCGGAACATCTACGAGGGGCAGAAGAAGTTACGCTAGTCACCTTGTTAAAATATGAGCCAGTAAAGGATCTTTTTAACACGCTTTTATTAGCTTCACCTGTATGTTTGTTTGTATGTAACCGACTCCTTTGGCCGTAATTTTGACTGACTTTAAACAGTCAGAATTCCTTTAAACTTTGTAGATATATCGAGGACCGATGACAATACACTAATATAAAAAAAAAAGAGAAAAAAATTATAGTTTTAAAAAATAAATTATAGTTTTAAAAAACTAAAAAACACGCTTTCTATAGAAAACCAAACTAAAAAATAGAAAATAAATTTCAAAAAAAGCGTTGGGTGCCTGTTGTCAATAGTAAAAATCACCCAACGCTTTGCGTGTTTTTTAGTTTTTTAAAACTATAATTTTTTTATGATAAAATTAAAGTAAACTAGTAAATCCGCTGTCGATAGATTTACTAGATAGTAGCCTTAGTAACATTTCTTGTAGAGCTGTGTAGTTCCTGAGTGAGCGATATAAAAGATATAAATCATTCACGCCGATAAAATGTATCACTCACTCACACTAGCTCCGAATGTATCAGTAACTCAGTACTAGCTCACTAGATAACTAGCTCAACGACGCCGATTTTAGTTTCATGAGCGAGTGAGACTAAAGATAAATGAGTGAGATAGATGATGGTTGAATTCACGCTAAGTAACTTTATGCAAAATGTACATTATTTTTTATAGGATCAAAGTAATATCACTTACTTAATTATTATTTGAGAATTAAGCCTGGTAAGTGTAAGGAAAATCAATTTATGTATTTAATTATAAATGATTTCTAATATACAACCTAAAAAAAGGTGTTATACGTATTTCTTACTTTTAATTATTTTATAAAAGGGTGTTAATAATTATGTAATCTTATAAAATGATTAAAAATTGTATTTAAAAAAAATATGTGATTATGTTATTATGATATGTTAACATGAGAATAAAGAAAGGTTTGTATGGGCGAGCGAGGCTTGAAGTGAGTGATATATACAGAGCTAAACGATCTAGACCACGAAATGAATCAATTGAGAGACCAACCAATTGAATTGGATCACTGAGATAGTGAGCTAAATGAGTTAGTGAGCTAGATGAGTCATATATATCTTTAGAGCGAAATGATACGTATCTATCTTTTCAGCTCAGTGATACATTTTGCCCATCACTAGTTTTACGGTTACGTCTTATGTGATTTTTTAATATTCAAATAAAATCAGGATCCTATTTAAAAAATATGACCGTGACCTTAAAAGGACCTTGAGATTCAGATCAGTGTTTACCTATTCATAATCTAAGGTCTCCACTGAAAAGCTAGGTACCCTGAATTTTGTTGCTTGTCTCAAGTTGGCTCAAGATACTTATCAATATCCTATGGTTTTATGAGTTTGACCTTGGATTGGTGGCCTTTAGAGGTCAAAGTTTCCTTACTGAAGGTCATATCGAATTGTAATTTTTTTATCTGTTCTCAGTTCCGGGCTCATCAATATGCAATCGTATTTGAAAATTGACCTTGACCCTTAAGATAACCTTCAAGGTTTCGATTAAGGTCAATTTCAAGGTCAACAATTAATAACCAGCGAAAATTGATATAACTTTTGTGTTTAACGTATTTCGGAAAAATGCATTCCTAGCGAATTATTCTGCTGTTCCGTTACTTTTCTAACACCTGGTATGTATAAGCTGGCTATTTAAGGATATCTATATTTCGACATGCTTAGTTATGCAAGCTTTAATGAAATAACCATTTTCTGTGTAATTTATTTTTTATATTATTGCTTTTTGCTGCTAGCTTAAAACAGGGTTAATACTCGTATTTTGATGTGAAAACATTTGGGAAAAAGGATCGAGCGAAGGAGTTTGGATGGAAAATAGCTTGAGTTTTAGATGGAGGAAGATGCTGAGAATGTAGTCGCAGTAAACACAATAAATAAATGTATTTAAATCCTGCTATTCATGTTGGTCGAGCTTAGGCCAACGCGAGCGTAGGCAAATTAATACAAGGCCAGTGCTACTGCCTACACGTTCAGCAAGTTTATCGAAAACCAATGCAAATGGCCAATATAGACGAATTTTGAAGAGATGCCGACACGTTGGGCTCCGTCAGTTTGTATTGTAAATTGAAACAAGATGGATGACGACGTAGAAGTTATTGCAGCTGCTGCTATTTATTTAATGAGCGCTGAAAATTATTATGTCAGTGTATACCGCACTAAAGTTGTGAAAAAGAAAAGACAAAAAATAAGGTGGTGGATGTTGAGCATTCACAAAAATAGAACAAGTTATGTATAGTGAGTCAACTTTTATTTTGTTACGTATCCACTTTTTGTTTTTATTGTAGCTTGCATTTTTTTTAAATTGAATTTTCTTTTTACAGGAATAATATGGAAAGTCAGCTATCTGAGCTTCTTCAAGAACCTGAATCAAAGGAATTTCGAAATTTCGTTCGAATGTCGGATAGCGATTTTGAGTATTTACTCCAGAACATCTCTCCAGCCATCAGCAAACAAGATACCGACTTAGAGAGAGCATACCAGCTAAGATTCAACTTGCCGTGACACTCAGATATCTAGCAACTGGACACAGTTACCTACAGAAGTTTACATTACACCTTTAAAATATCCAGTCAATTAATATCTCAAATAATTCCTGAAGTTTGTCAAGCCCTCATTGATGTTTTGAAAGATACTGTTAAGGTATGTAAATTAAACTTCATATATTATTTATTACTTATTATTTTTATTAACAAAAAAATAAGGACATTAACAGTTGTAATCACTACAAAGTCAAGCCGTTCAGAAGATTGCCCGGCATGAACAGACAGACTGAAAAGAACTGGTTTTTAGGCATAAGTATCGTGCAAATAACCGTAAGAGCACGAATAAAACCTATTATTTTGACATTGCAAACAGACACTTCAATGTTTTTTATTTATATAATGCATAATATAATTTGTATAATTAGTAATGAATAGTAACAACAAGGAGAGATAACTAAAATGTTTTCCGTAACGGACAACTCGTCATGATCAAAGAATAATGTCGGCTTTGAAAAAAACACGAAATTCTGTTTTTACCATATTTGGATATTACATTGTCTAAATATTATTACTACTCGTACATTCAAGAAAATATTATAAGATTTTAAATTATTCAGTGTTTGTTGATAGGCGCTCAAAGTAAAATGAAGCACGACATTTTTCTAGAAAATTTTAAAATTATTAGTTAATTTTATGGCATTTAAAAACAAACTCTATTTTTTCACTTGTATCCCAATTTTAATAACTACAGATTTAGAATCAAAAAAGTTATGTCACTAAAATAACATAATTATTTGAAATGACTGACCTGTAAAGTTCAATAAATGTCAGATCTGATGCTACTCTACGACTTAATACTAACATACCTATTTAATTTTTTACAACCTATTTTATTTTTTTTACATCAGAGGGGTCAGACTAGCACACGGGTCACCTGATGGAAAGTGACTATCGCCGCCTATGAACGAGGTTTTTTAAATATAATACAATATAAAATAAGTACATAAAATGTATTTGTTTATATAACTTTAACTGATTACTGTTCTTCTTAAAATAAAATAAAAAGTAGCTTTAAAAACTTTTATTCATTTTCTAATAGTTTTGCTCAAATTCTAGATTACACGTAGCCTTAATTCAGTACAATCCACAACCACAACGACCGCCCGCAGCTTGTCCAAAGTTCAAATCAGCAATTCCTGCATGTCCACAAGTCGAACCATATTCAGCAACACCGGGGATAATGCCAGCTGATCCAAATCCCATAGCAGCACCTGAGTTACCAACTTCACTTGTAATAGCTGTGATTCCATTACCACAACCATAATGGACGGCACCAGCGCCAGCAGAAGGTAGTACTCCCTCGAAAGCTACAGCACTTAAGAAGGGTAGTTCACCAATAACATTCAGAGAACCTTCGTAAGCATTCTCAGACGCTACGGATATACCACCAGGAGCTATTGAGGCGACGCTATGGATAGGAAAACCTCCGCCATTGCTGAGTGTACCTTCAATACCTGCACCGCTAAATCCAGAACCAGCACCAATACCAAGACCAAATCCACCTCCTAGAGCGTAGCCATTTCCGATGTGCGAACCACATGATGAAGCACCAGCATACGGGGTACTTAATCCCCACGTATGTTCCCCTCCAGACCGACAACATTGACTGATTACAGCCTGGAAATTAAAATTTTTCAAACTTAACATTAATTTCCTTTTTAAATTACAATAAAATCAATGCCCTATGTCAATTTCATATATGTATTATTTTATGTCTGCCGCATTATATTTCTATGAAGATGGACTGAGAGAGAATGCACCATGGCATTAAGTCCGCCTTTGTGCAACATGTGCATTAAGTTTTAAATAAATAGAAATAACGGTAAAGTAGAAAATTACAACTTTCATAGTAAAAATGTAGTAAATTAAACAATAAGCAACTTTGAAAAAAAATTAAACCTTAAGAACTTACGTGAGCAAAAAGCGCTTGAGCGCAAAGTACGACGATAGCTTTGGCTGACATTTTCAAGTGTTCTAGGGAAAGATGTGAATAGGAATGATATACACTACCTTTTGCACCTGTTTTTATACAAAACTTTGATATCAGTCCACGCGCAATTCGTCTATGAACAATGTGTCTGTAATATGCGATAAATATTGCACGTTAGCAAAAATATTTGTTTTCTCACGTAAAGTGATAGCGTCAATTTTAACGGTTTATCCTTTAGTATAAAAGGGTGTCAAAGGTTTCCCTGACCATTCACACTTCTGCTTTTCTTTGATCAGTAAGAAAAGAAACAAATTACCATGAACACTTTCACTATTTTATTGTTCTGCATTCAAACTTGCCTGGTACAAGTAAGTTAATGTTACATGTTTCATTTATTATTGTAGTTCTCACTTTAAATTTCTTTAAACACTCTTTTTGTTTGTTATATGAATAAACTTATTTTCGTCAAACTACAATGAATGACACGTAGAAAATATTAAGGAGACTATTTCCTTAAGAGTTTGTATTAACTGGACCAATCCTCCCTCACGGCTACTATCGTAACTCTTGTACACCATCATCAACAACAGTGACCCATGAATGACAGTCAGAAAGTCCCCGATAAAATTAAACTGTCTTGGAATTCGCAACAAAATTATTTGAAATAAATTGGAGGAGTTAATAATAATAATTTAAAATAATAATTTTTATTGACATATAAAAGAAGTGCAATGCTTACATACATACATATTGAAACAAACTTGAGTCAAGGGTACCAGTTCTTCTCACAGTTGTAGACTTATGATAAGTCGCGTATGTGCCTGAGTGCGTTTCTCTCTCTCTCTATCTTTGTGTGTGTGTGTGTGTATGTTGTTTTAATTTTATAGCACTGTGAGTCTCATTAACTTCTCGGTTGTGTCGTAATCCTGTTCAAGGAACCAGTTCATTACTTTGGTTTTGCATTGTCTTTTCGCAAGGTGATGGATCTGGCAACGCTTGTTTAGGGTGTTGTAAAGATGAACTGCGATAATACGATTAATAGTTAAAAACGATTATAGTTGGAAATATACTAAATGCAATTCCCGCCTTAACAAAGCGGGAGAAAAAAAGAAGTACAAATAGGCATACACCCTATTCAACAGGGAAGCACCGCAGGATATATTAATATAATAGTAGAATTAATTTCAATAAACTAAATTTTACAGAATGTAATCAGCCAATGCATTCATGGGACTGGAGCGCCTCGATCGATTGCGCCTTCTGCCGTTACTTCAAGATATGGCTGTGGAAGTGGAGGGGCCGGTATCGGAGGTGTAGGTCTTTTTAGTAACGCTGGTGAACTTGGATATGGAACTTCATCAGCCGGTGCTTACGGTGGTGTAGGTGAAGGTAACGTAGCAGTCATCGGTGAGCTGCCTGTTGCCGGTAACACCGCTGTTATTGGTCAAGTACCCATTTTGGGTGCTGTAAGCTTTGGGGGTAACGTGCCAGCTGCTGGTTGTGTCTCCATCAACGGCAGATGTGCCTGCGAATGTGGTTATTGAAAGATATAAAATTATAGCTTACAAGTAACCGAAAATATAACATTGATTGTCAAGTTTTTGTTTTTTATATTACAATTCGATTATTACCTGTCGAATTATCATCTATATTGGATCACAAAATATATTATCTGTGCTAATATTATAAAGCTGATAAGTTTGTCTGTTTGGTTGGATGGTCCGAATTTATTCAATATTTTTTTGATGTTGGTTTTGCCCATTTATCGAGATGAGCTATATAGCATTACGCTATGACCAATCGAAGCGGAACATCTGCGAGGGTAGAAGAAGTTGCGCCGGTCAAATTGTTAAAATATAAGCTAGCAAAGGATCTTTTGTGATAAAATTAAATTAAAGACAATTGGTCCTTGGTCCACAGCAGCTACTGAAAAAGTTGCTTGGCGTGTATATGTATATATCGTATATATATTAATTGTCGTATATATATTATGTACACATAAACAAAACCGGTCAGCTACGAGTCGAACTCGTGCGCCGAGGGTTCCACACCTACCCAGATTTTACGTAGATTTTCGCGAAAATTTGTAAGTACCAAAATTTATCTTAATTTTCAACTGTTTTATTTTTTGGAATTATTTCTTTATTTGTGCTGTAAGACGTTTCTTTTTGCCAAATTTCGTGATTCTAGGTCAACGGGAACTACCATATAGGTTATCGACCCAAAACCTATAGGGTAATTCCGGTTGACCTAGAGTTGTCAATTTTTGTTAAAAGCAATATCTTACAGCACAAGTAAAGAGAAAATTCTCAAAAATAAAAAAAGTTGAAAATTAAGGTGAATTTTGATACTCGAAATTTGCCCATATCTTTTTATGGTGTTGACTCAGGACCTTCATTTTTATACACCGAATAAGGATAATAGATCTCAGTATCTGGTATAAATTTCAACTTGCTGGGTTAATCCGTTCCTGAGAAAATCGGTGGTGACACACGGACAGACGGACAAGAAAGTGATCTTATACCTTTCTTATACCGTTCCTTTTTTTACCTTTTAAGGTACGGAACCCTAAAACTTTGAAGCTAGAATAGGATACTGGCAGAACCATGCTTCAGCATTTAACGGGTGTTAGAAAATTATCGGAAGTACCGGAACAGACAACAAACTCACACGTTTAGAGGCGAAAACATGGTTACGTCTTATTGTGATTCTTTAATATTTTAATAACATCAAGATCATATTTAAAGAATATAAATCAAACTACCTACGAAATGGTTCTTCAATGCTTTCAATGTAAGAAAAACTTCACTAAAAAGACACTCGGACTGGAATAAAGTAGATGTGACAAAACAGTACACGCCGATTCAGCTTGTACCAAAATCTCCCACAAACAACTTAACACGTTGAAAAATACACCAGGTATAGAATGGAGCTACGATGACTGTCAAAATAATATCTCAAGGCGATCTTCTCGCCTTACCCCTGATGATGAGTCGGAGAGCTGCTGCCAAGCCAACGTGCCAACTATCGATACAAAGAATTTAGTGCAAGACATAACTCGTGAACTAAAGAAAACCTTTCGTGATGAAATTAGCAGTCTGCAGGCCTCGTTGAAGTTTCTAGGTGACCAGATAACAGCTCTGAAATCCACTAAGCAGCAAGATAAAGGAATTAACGATTTCGAAAACGAAAAGTACGTACTTCAAAATAAAAATATATATAATCTTAAAATGAGGGTAGCAGGGCAAGATTTAGAAATGAAACTTGAGCAATCAAAACTTTCTTCTTCACTTAAGAGAGATCGCAGGTCTACCAGAAGTAGCCCCTATTGACATACCGAAAGTCGCAGTAGCCCATAATCTAGATATGAACAAGCTGGATGTACAGTCATATCAAAAACTATTAGACTCTAAGGACAAACCCGGACCCATCCTAGTCGAAATGAAGATAAGAGACATCAAACAGCTGTGGGTCAATGCAGATAAACAAATGCGCCTCACCCTAGGATAGATTTTACCAAGTCCTGAAAAGGAAAATCTAACAGCCCCATATTCATCCGGGAAGCTCTTACAAAGCATGTAAAAACCCTTCTCTATAACACCAAAAAACTACATGTCACATCAATATACATATGGTATAAAAATGGCAAAGTATGCGCACATACATCAACATTGACATTTTACACAGTAAACTACAAAAGGTAAAACGCACAAAAGTAAGCAACTTGTCCTAGAACCTATAAGAACCACAAAAATACCTCAAAATAGCTCTTGGGACCTTGGATCTATAGCAATATCACGCGACTGTGTGATAAACGCAATGATCTGTTTAGTAAATGGAAAGATGACACAAGCATTTTGAAATAAAGATTAGAATATAATAAAACTCGTAATAAACTGCATAAAGTAATAGAATATAAAAAAAATACAATATCAAAGAAAAAAAAACAATTATATAATAACAATCCAAGAAAAAGCGAATGGCTGATGGTGAGTGCAAAGATGGCGTAGTGGTTTAAGTGTTCGCCACGCCGCTTACTGCTACGCTGATTGCTGTGGGTCCGATCCCCACATGGGACGACATTTTGTGTTCTGAGTCAGGGTGGTCTTTGTGTTCGTTTCATTTATGTTTGTAAAATCCTCCGCGACACAGGATATATTCGTAAAGCAGGAGTTGTCTCTAAAAAAAACAAATAATAAATAAAATTTTAGGTCGAGTGACATTGTCAATCGATGCAGCGGTGCTAAGAGCATTTGAAGGACAGGGACTAAGTAGTAAAACTACTGCCAATAATTTCTGCAAGACATTACCGGTTCAAATACAAGTAAAATATGCATTATTAAAAAAATACTAAGAAATTAAAAAATAAATTGAACACACTGTATATATGCGTGACAATACGTATGGCGAAAGAATCACAGCCTACCTCCTTCCTCCTTTGATTAACAAACTACCCACTTTTAATTTTTTTTCCCCGTGCGGAAATATATCTTAATATCCTCGGATACCACCTGTCGGTGGCATGTCGGACTCGAACCGACTAAAACCGCACGCCGTCTCGGTTACTAATAGCCGGGGAACCAGGTATACCCTAGAAAGGAAGTCCCTGGTGCCCCAACAAACAAACTACCCACTGACTTAAGTGGCAACCTCAACACGAATCATATTAAAAATAAACCCAGGTCCTATTTTCTAAATGAACTACACAACCACAGGTAAATGTATTTGTCTATCTATCTAGCTATCTTAGCTAGTATTACTTTTTATTTTTTGCCCCCAATGTTTTTAAATATGTACGTCTTTTGTACTAAATATCGAAATGTATCACTCAAACACTATGTATTGACTATTTTCTGCACATGAAATAACGGTACTTACTATAAACCTTAGTGGTTTTACAGTACCAAAAACCAAAAATGTTATTTACCTACATCGTTTAAGTGTTAAGTAAATAAAAAAAATATGAAATGGTTTGTGGACATCCTGATTTCAACTGGGAGCGCATTCCAGAGCAGTACGAGAACGAAGAGTTCACGAAGTCGGAGTTGTAGAAAGGACACAGGAAAAGAACAAGCGAAGATTTTGTCGTGATTAAAGAACAGACAAGTATTAGAAGCGAATTAAAATTGAAATAAAAATCAAAATAGACGACAGTACAATCAGGTATCATAAGACGACATGGCTTGTGTAAAAAAAAAGAATAAAATAACTTGATAAAATATTTATTAAACTAAATAACAAATTAAACACTTAGTACATTAAACCCCGACCTCCACAACCACGGCCGGGAAATCTATTGCCAAGACCGAGACCTGAATTGGGACCGAAGCGGTTAGCAGGAGATAGTGGCAAAATGGGTGTCAAGGCAGCAGTTGTTGGAGCTACAGCTTCTGCAACTGGTGATATGGCTGCGACGGGAGCAATAGCAGCCTCAGACACAAAGGAAGCAGTCTCACTTGTCATAGCAGTAACTCCATCCCCGCAGGCATGATTAATAGCTCCTGCACCGGCAGATGGCACTTCACCTTCAACTGCTGCAGTGCCCACAAACGGCAATTCTCCAGCCACAGCTAAAGCACCTTCATAAGCATTATCAGATACTACGGAGATTCCAGTAGGAGGAATAGCTGAACTACTTGTAACAGCTAGGGCACCACCAGTAGTAGGTGTGATTTCCAAGGCAGAAGCAACTGCTGGGTAAACTCCTTCAGAGACTCCGACTCTTCTTCCTGCAGCATTAAGTCCATCGCATGAAATGGCAGAGGCAGCTAATCCATCTTGTATTATTCCGGTACCTGGCCAGGCATGAGGAGTGGCGTATCCAGGCGCACCGAAAGCGGCACGGTTGATACACTGGCCGAGGGAGCCCTGAAAAATAAAAGTAGTTGTATGTTCCTGTACATACTATTTTTGTCTAGCATGGTATTCGTGTGTAATGAGTAGAGGTGAGCAATATTTGATAGCATGGAAATTTTTGTAAATCGGAGTTGTTGGGATAACAATAAATATCGATTAAAGACAAAGGGAATGAACTGTGCGTAAGAAATCAAATGTTGTAAGTCTTGTTGTTTCTCTCCAACTTCTTTATTTACTCTTTTTCTTTTTAAATTAGTATCTCAGTCACACATTTCCGCCATTTAAGGTAGACTGGGAGAAAATACCAGTGGCATTGCCATTGTACAACTTTTATTTGTAGATAAAAAAATAAATAGAGGAATCATATAGCGGAATAAAAAAAGAAAACAAAATATTAAGCCAACGCCATATCAAATTAGATCAAAAATAGATAGATGATTTTAATTTGCTTAAAATTTTACTTACCTGAACCAGCGCACACAGAAGAAAGAAGAACTTTGAAGAAGACATGTTGCTGTATGTAACTTGTTGGTTTACGAGTTAAATCGATAGTGATATTTAAAATCAATCTGTGGCTTTTATACCCAATGTTATCTAAGTTGCGTACACTTTCTAAAAACTTATTGTAATCATTTTGTAAAATAATCAGTTTCATTATTATTTCATACACATTGCATTCGATAACATTACTGTTGCCGTATCAGGTAAATGAAACATATTTTGTAATGATTCTCCGTATTCTTAATCCGTGTGGTGACGGATTAAGAATACTGAGTGTCACCACCCCCATTTCATCTCGCGGGTGTCGTGAGAGCCGACTAAGGGACCAAGCTAGGACAACAGCACTGCAAAGAGAAGGAAAAACTTGACATAAACCCTATGCTAACCCGTCCGGCCAGCGTGGTATAGTAGGCCCAAACCGACTGCACGTATGGCGTAGTGGTTTAAGCGGTCACCTCGCCGCTTTCTACTGCGCTGAGAGTTGTGGGTTCGATCCCCACACGGGACCACATATTGTGTGATCCACAAATTGTTGTTCTGAGTCTGTGTGTCCTTTGTGTCCGTTTCATGTATGTTTGTAAAGTCCCCCGCGACACAGGACTTATTCCTAGGACGGGAGTTGTCTTTTTAAGGAAGAAAAAAAGTCCTCTCTGTCAAGTTGTTTTAAAAATGTTTATGTTAGACGAGTCATCAGACGTCTGCAACTCAGGAGTCTCTCAAGGAGTAGGCTCTTTTCTTGAAAGTTTGTTTTATGTTGCCCTATAACGTACGATTATAATATTGTCTGTCGATTTGTCGTACGAGTTATACAAAATGACACAGGATATACCACATAGGATCATGTTTGAGCTGTAACTTATTCGTACAATCAGGTGACCAGTCTGTCCACTTGTCTTGTCAACTACTCGTAGTACACTGTTCACGATTCAAATTAAACTAAATGCTGCTACAGTGTGTTTTCAGAAGAGGGTTCTCCACGTTTACTTAAAAATGCTTTTATATAAATAACTTTCAATTCATCGTCATCATCCACGGCCTTTAGCAGTCTACTGCTGGACATAGACCTCTCCTTAGGGCCCGTCTGCAGTGAAATAACATATATGAACGACTAGCAGCCTGTCTTTTTCCTCAAGAATCAAAGTATCTCCTTCCCAATTTTCATTTAAATCGGTTCAGCGGTTATTGATTCCCCATACAAACTTCCACTCCCTTTTCACCCCTTAAAGAATAATTTCTGGGATAAAAACTAGTTTATATCCTTTCCCGGGACTCGGACTATGTCTATACCAAATTTCATCTAAATCGATTCAGCAGTTTAAGCGTGAAGAGGTAACAGACAGACAGACACACTTTCGCATTTATAATATTAGTATAGAATATTAGTGTGGAATATTGATGATACAGGTTACCTTATTCATCATTATAACATTCTATAATAATATAATAATAATAATATTCTACCACATACACACAACGCCATCTAGTCTCATATAATGTTCGTGTCATGTATGTTTGTACAGTCCCCCGCGACACAGGATTATATACCTAATGAGGAAGTTGTCTTTAAAATAAAACCTACCATATCAACAGGCCCATTAATATTGGTATATATGAGTAAATTTCTTCAAACTTTTATTCAATCTATCCATATAACATACTTGCCCTGACCGGCTAATTGATGACACATAACCGCTGGGGCTACAAACTTGAAACTTTGGTAGCTGTAGCTTTTTATGGTGTAAGTACCTACCTAGAAAGAATTTTTGAAAATTTCACCTCTGATGGGAAAGAACAAGAGATATATGGAAATAGGTTGCATGGAAATTCGACATTTTCAAGAAACACGAAATAATCTAATTGCTAAGCTATTTTGCTAAGCTAAGCTAAGCTATGAAATATTCAAGAAATTTTATAAGCTCTATGATGCCATTACTGTAATTGTTTGTGCTCTAGGACCAATACTTTTTGCTTAATGAGAGTCACTCTGTGTTCTCTCGCGATCCCCTCTGTTTACTTTTTTTTTTCCTTTTGATTCTTCTCATAAGGCTCAACCCCTTAGAAACGGGCGGTTGTGGATCGGCACAGACATATCATAGATTTTGTATGGGTTTGATTTTTGTTAAATTTATTTTGCTTACTATTTGACAAAACAGAGATTGTTGCTTTTGTGTGTGTTGATCTATGACTTTAGAGTCTACATAAAAGACGATTTCAAACAATTTTAAAAATATTATGAAATAAAGAGAGTTTGAGTTTGAGTTTCTGTCTGAAACTCCACACCACCGTCCGTTATGTCGAACCGACTAAAAACCGCACGTCGTCTACAGGTACTAGGAAACCAGGTATACCTTAGAAAGTAAATCCCTGGTATCCCGATGTTCTCTTCCTGCCCCAAAAGGGCGTACGCGCTCCGTAACGGCTTTCGTGATCCCCTGTAGTTAAGGTGTAAAACTTACTCGTATTAAAAAAGTAATACCGATTTTAACTTGCCTACATCATAACGAATCCTTATAAACTCTATTCTTTATTATTTCATTTCCTTCCCCTTTTCTTCTTCAGATTGCAGAGAGACCAAACAGAAAGTATATCATTTCAAATTAAAAAAGAGCTTTAAAAAAAGGTTATGACGGAGTTAAAAGGTAACAACGGTTTAAAACGAGCATACGGGTCGCCTGATGGCAATTTAAGTGACTACCGTCCCCTCCAAACAGAATGGGGGGGTTTAGGGCACAAGTTATCTCAATCACTTGGTGAAAAGCAACGAGATAATTGTCTAACACCTGTTTTCTGTGTGGTCCTGATATTTATTTATTTATTTATTTATTCATCTTTATGCACTTTTGTACATCGGCGGACTTAATGCCCAGGGCATTCTCTTCCAGTCAACCTTTGGGTGATGTAGAAATCTTGTCAGGTAGGTGCACAGAGGTTACATCATAATATCAAATGTACAATGAAAATATATACGGTTCACTACATATATAAACATATACACACATACTACACTTACACATCATAAATACGCAAAGATACACATACATATATATACAAGTATATTTATATAGATACATAGACATATCATATTCGTACACTATGAAAACCTGAATTTGAGGTATACTTAACTATGGATTAGACCGTTCTGCCATTTCTTTAAGAATTCAAATTCAAATTCAAATTCATTTATTACCAAAAAGAAAAGTACAAAAAATGTGATACATTGCCGGTGGCCCCACACTAGGCAAGCCTGTCCTGTGGGTGCCAGTTGCGATTACACATTTCGCTATACATTGTTGTTCGGTAGACATTACATCGTCGTTTTCAATTTAATGTATACAGTGTTATATTTGAGACAGCAATCTATTTCCTCCGAGTATGCGTTTGGAAGAAAACAATTGCCGTCCCAAACAAGTTGGCAACAAAAAAAAAAAAAGGGATAAAAAAAATATGAAAAATGATTAAAAATGAAAAACAATAATATTGGCAAAACAGCGTTGGTAAATACATGCATGAGGTTATTTTATAGATATTAATATTGTAAAGATAAAAATAACTAAATGTGTGTGTCTATATTGGTTTAGGGTACTTTATATGTTATGTGTAATATAATAAATTATTCTCAAAGAATAAGGCGCAACATTTATGAAACGTGTGCCAACAGACCTTCTGTATAGTCGTATGTCAAAGAAAGCAACCATTGTGTAATGTTAAGTTTAGCCTCCCCCACAGAACATAGCGTTATATCGCAGAGCTTTGTAATTCTGTTATATATATATAAATCTTTGTATGGACTAAAACGTCTAGCAAAACTTGTTTTAATAGTAGGCAATGGCAATTTGTAAACACGACGTTCAAGTAATTTACTGTGTTCCGCCGTGTTAACAACAGTACGATGAACTTTCAGTATTGTTCGGAGAAAATAAAGTTGTCGCACAGTTAAGACCTTACATTCTTTATAGAGCTCATTAGTTGGATATCTAAAGGGTCTTTCCTGCATGACTTTCAAAACAGATCGCTGGGCTATTTCTGCTTGCAACATGAATGTTTTCAGTGCACTACCCCAGCAAGTTATGCAGTAATTTAAAAGTGACTGTGTAAGGGCAAAATAAACCTGTCTCAGAACGAATGGTGATGCCGAGCACCGAAGTAGTTTCATAATGTTAGCAGTTTTTCTAACTCGAGTTGATATTGAGTTTATATGCGCTTTAAAGTTAAGGTGTTCGTCAAGCAGTATTCCAAGATACCTAATGGTGTCAGTTTTCATAATTTCTTTACAGTCGCAACACACCTGGTCCAAACAGACATGCACTTTTATCTTAGGGTTTTGTTTTGGGGCTGACGCTGCAGTTTTGTGAAAGCATATGTATTTGGTCTTGCTGGTGTTTAAAGTTAGTAGGTTATGTTGCAGCCATGTTGAAATCTGTGTCATACCTGTTTCCGCCCTCAGAAACGCCTCAGCCCAAGAGGAACCTTCATAGACAATCACTGTATCATCGGCATAACAGATGATATCTGCGTTAACACTCTCATATATGTCGTTCATATACATAATGAACAGAGTCGGGGCCAAGATACTACCCTGAGGAACGCCGAAATCAATAGTATGAAGTCTACTTTCATGACTTCCAATTTTAACACACTGTTTTCTATTGGTCAGGTATGTTTTAAACCAGTTCAGAGCCAAGCCCCTTACCCCAAAATGGTTTTCAAGTTTTCGCAACAGGATCGGCGTTGAGACGGTGTCGAAGGCTTTGGCTAAGTCCAGGAAAATGCCTATGCTTGCTTTCTTTCTGTCGAGATGAGACGCCAGTGTCGACGTAAGTAGCGTTATCGCATCCTCCGTGGATCTTCCTCGCCTGAAACCAAACTGCCTGTTGGAAAGAAGGTTATTTGATTCGATATAAGACACAAGCCTGTTGTTGACAATTTTCTCAAGAAGTTTGGAGAATACAGTCAAAAGAGATATTGGACGATAGTTGGCTACACAGTTTTTAGGCCCATCTTTATGAATCGGTGTAATGGACGCTGTCTTCCACGCCTCCGGAAAGACACCCGACTGCAAGCTGAGGTTCAGAATTGCTGTAAGTGGTTGTAGGATAGTTCTTCGTATTTCTTTCAGCATAGTACTAGTAAGACCATCTACACCAGGCGCTTTGCCGTTTGCCAAGGATAGTATAAGGGACTCAACTTCATTTTCGTCTGTGGGCTGCAAAAAAAAAGAGTTCTTGACAAGTTGGCTTTTGACTTCGGCTGCCAGTGTCTCTTGACTTTGGTTGAGTCCATGTAAAATGTCACCAGCCAAACTTTCACCGATAGTTGAAAAGTATGTGTTGCAAATGTCCAGAGAATATCTGGGGTCAGTACTACCTTTTAGAGTTAGGAGTTCCTTCGGTTCTGTCTTAGTTTTGGACAAGTGGCATATTGATTTTATAGTTTTCCAGAGCTTTTTGATATTATTTGTGCTGTTGGAAAGTTCTCGGTTTTCATATTCAGTTTTGAGCTTCCGCAGCAAGTTATTGCAGAAATTTCTGTATCGTGAATAAATTAAACGTAAAATCTGATCATTGGGAAACTTTCGGGCGCGTAAATGGAGTTGGTCGCGATGTTGCATGCAGCGAATTAATCCTGGAGTAATCCACGGCTTAATAATAAATTTCGAGTGGCTTATTTTGGTTGTTCTCGAGTGCTTGTATATTATTTCAGCAAGCCGGCTGCAGAAGGAATTTACCGCCTGGTTTATATCCACGTTGTCTAGTAAGGCGGCCCAGTCTTCATGTAATAGCTCCTTCTTTATTGCTTCCACGTCACGTCTAAGAACATTTCTGTTACAGTTTGTTTCAGGATTTTTCGTAGTAGCCATCCCGAGTATTGCTATGTAATGGTCGGTTACATCGGAGCTGCATACTACGCCTGTGGTGCCCTGAGTGGTATTCACAAAAATATGGTCCAGACATCTATTACCTCTTGTCGGTTTCGTTATAGCAGGGAAGAGTCCATGTTCCGAAGTGAGACATTGATACACTAGATCTTGAGTACTTGTCGATAGGAGCAAATCTATATTGATATCGCCTAGCAAAATCAACCTGGTGTTCCTGTTGGAGATACTCTTCAAGACTTGATCCAGGGAACTAAAGAAGTTGCTGAAATTTAAGAAAGACGGGGGCCGGTATACACCGAGGATTGTAATTCCTTTATCTAATGTCAGTTGTAGACAATTTGCATCTTGCAGTTCCGGTTCCGAGACACAAACGCCAAGGGTTTCCCTCACATACGCTATTACACCCGAATTTTGATTAATTTTTTTCTTTGTAAAATAGTAAGTGTACGATGGTAAGTGAGGGATAACGGTGTTCTCATCTAACCAACATTCCGTAAAAACAATTACATCAAAAGAAGTCTTCAGCCTGTGCAACGTCACAATGAAACTGTCAAAGTTTTTGTTTATGCTCCTTATGTTATATGTAATTACTTTAAAATTATGATTCAAGGGGATTGCTGTATGATATTCTTCAGGCGTACCAATTAAATGACAGTTTATACCGATCGAGTCCAGTTCAGCTACTGTATAATTATTTGTCATGATTAATGTTGTTGTAAGATACTTCATATTTACATGCATATGCGATTAGATTAAAAAGACTGTCATTTGGCACACTGTCACATATATGTGGTTGAATTCTAAACAATAGCTTAAATTTTATTTTTATAGTTGCGCGGTAATTAATTAGTTGAAAAACGGGATAACATTCTTTGAGAACCTTGCCACACGACAAAATCCCATTGCACATTATGTTTGCTGTATAAATATGATACTGTGTTGGTATAAAGTAAAGGTTGTATATTTTTTTGTAAATAATGTAAGGTATTATGAAATAGTAGTAATGTAATATTGTAAAAAATCGTGAGGGTAAGTAACTTGATATAAAAAATTGAGTTTTATAATAGGTAACATGTGTAATTAATTTAAGGTTATAGTAGGATCTTCTTGTCAGGCACTTGTTTGCTTCCACAGCGCGTGTCGCTTCAGTTTCCGCTGGGAGTAACAAATACACGCAGTAGATCGTCTTGTGTGCGGACGGGCAAAGATGGCTTCCCTTCCCGCTGCTTAACAAAAATGTTTCCTTGAGTGACCCAGCAGTAGGTGTATCCGTATTCCTTGGACTTCGCTCGTGCCGCTCGAAAAAGCAATCTATTATCTTTAAGAAGGAGAGCATGTACCTTCTTTTTGAATATAAAGCGGTTTGTGGACATCCTGATTTCGAGCGGGAGCGCATTCCAGAGTAGTACTGCTTGAACAAAGAACGAAGAGTTCACGAAGTCGGAGTTGTGAGAGGGACATAAGAGAAGCAGATTGTTATCTGAGCGAAGATTTCTGTCATGATTGCTAGACAGGTAACATAAGTAGGGAGCAAGGTAAGTAGGTGAGGACGGTGAATTGAGAAATGCAAATAGAGAGGTAAGTGCACGCTGTTTGCGGCGGAGGCGAATAGGTAACCAGTTTAATTGGGAACGCAAAGCAGACACATGGTCATACTTCCGAAGATTGAAGATGTATCGAATGCAGTTATTGAGAAGACGGTCAAGCTTATTTAGAAGGTCTGCATTCAGGTCGAAATAACACACATCACCATAGTCAATTATTGGCATTATTAAGGACTGCATGAGCGTAACTTTGGTTTTAGGCGGTAGGAAATTCTTGAGACGATACAATGTTCGCAAATTGCCAGTTACTTTCTGGCTCACGCTAGTAATTTGAGCTCGCCAATCGAGGGATGAATCGATAAGTAAGCCCAGGTCTTTGACTACCGGGCTGAATGGAATAATTAAACCATTGTAGACGACCGGTGGGATAGAGGCAGTATCCAATCTGCTCATAATCCGTTTGCTGCCTGTTATGATTGCCTGACATTTGGTCGGATTAACTGACAGTCCAAATCTCATCGAAAAGGATTCTATGACCTCCAGGTCCCGATTGACCTCGTCAATAGCCCGCGTTACATCCTCTACCCTTGCCTGTGAGTACAGCTGCAGATCATCAGCATACAGGTGATACGCACACTGAAGATGTTGAGTTACGAGGTTAATAAATATAGAGAATAAGAGAGGAGATAAAATTCCGCCTTGTGGGACGCCAGCGTGGAGGTCGCACCAACTTGATGATAAGTCATCAACACGAACACATTGCTGTCGCCCCTGAAGATAGGTGGAGAACCATTCCAGTGTCTCAGAAGGAACCATAAGATGGGATAGGATAGATAACAGGATTTCGTGATTGACGGTATTAAAGGCATTAGAGAAGTCAACTAGGACTAATACTGTGACTTTGGTGTCTTCCATGCCCTTCCTAAAATCGCCAGTCACTTTAAGGAGAGCGGTAACTGTGCTGTAGAGGGCTTAAAAGTTGGTTTCTGTATACAAACTGTGAGAGTTGCTTATGTACACAGGCCTCGAGTACTTTAGATAAAAATGGAAGAATAGAAATAGGCCGAAAATGTTCAGGAAGTAAAGGGTTATTATTTTTTGGGAGAGGAATAATATAGGCCTTACGCCACAAGGAGGGGAAAGTACCGGAGTCAAGAGAGAAGTTTATTATATGAGTAATTACTAAGAGAATGCAGTCTAGGATGGTGACAATCATGCGACGGCTAATGCCATCACACCCCACAGCATTAGAACGGATAGAAAGAACAATCTTCTTGATAACCTCGGGAGACACCGGAGAAAATACAAACGAGTCAGAAGTGGAACTGGTTAGACCAGATATGTAGTGTAGCGTTTGACATTTGGTTTGAAGATCCAGCGTAGCTGTGAATGAGAAATGACGGTTGATATCATTCAAACCAATTTTATTGTTAAACACGTGATGCTGTTGTTTACCAATTCCTAGAGTACCAAGAAATTTCCAGATACTGGATGAAGAAGAAGACTCTATGTTTTGAAGAATATGTCGGCGTTTAGCGTTGCGTATCACCTGGTTGCACCGATTCCTTGCAGCCTTATAAAGGTTCCATTTGTCTTCGCAGCGATCTTTCTTGAAACGAAGAAAGGACTGGTCCCTTCGTCTCATAGCAGTTCGAACCTCATTCGTCATCCAAGGCGCCGGGGCACGTTTTAGTTTTACTCTCCTGATAGGAGCGTGGACGTCATACAATTTCAAAATGGTGTCATTAAAAATACGAATTTTGTTGTCCACGTCGGTGGCAGCTGCCATATCCTCCCAATCGATCTTAGCAGCATCTGCGTGTAATTTGTCAACATCCATGCGTCGGAAACTGCGGATCTGTAGAAGTTTAGGAGGTGGTTTAGGAGGTTTCAGGATATAGGAGAGGAAGATAAGGTCATGATGGGAAAAACCAGGGGCAAGGAGTTGTCCATGGGAAGAGACAAGGTGTGGGGCAGAGGTGAGCATTAGATCTAGCCAGGTATCCTGGTAGTCTAAATTGTGGTGAGTGGCTTGAAGGGGCAGGATATGAAGGCTGGTTGCTTGGATGATCTGAAGGAGATTGCGTGTACGAGGAGTGTTTGGGGCTAGGAGGTCAGTGTTGAAATCGCCCATGATGATGTGATGCGAGTGTTCCGACCCTAAAGATTCCAGAACTGTTTCCAGACTAGAGAAGTAGTTAACGGTTGGGGGGCAGTAGACTACACCTAGAATTACGTTGACTCCCTTGACACAAACTTCGAGGAATAGGTATTCTGCGTAGGTGGAAAGGTTGGAGGAGGAAGAGGCGAGGATTTTATAAGGTAAGCAACTACGAAGGTAGATAGCGACGCCCCCACCTCTTTTATCTAAACGGTCATTGCGGATAAGTAAAAAGCCAGAGAGACGATATGAGGTGGAGGGTAGGTGGGGCTTGAGCCAAGTCTCCGAAATCAGGACGGCATGAACGTTGTTGTCAGAGAAAGTCTCGGTTAAATCGCTAAAATGACTTGGGACACTTTGCGCATTTATATGGCAAACATTTAGAGAAGGACAAGATTGAACGGGAAATGTTTGCCGTAATTGGTCACCCAGAGTCTCTGTCAAGGAACTATAACGGGCATCTTCGGAAGAGTCATCGGCAGAAAAATATATGTCAGCTTCATCATCGGTCATCATCATAAGTGTATAATATACTATAAAAAAGAAAAAAATACCTACTAAAATACTATATGAAGTATATAATAAATATGTACTAAAAACAAAAATAATAATATATATATGTAGGTTTTATGATATGTAGGCTGGAGTTGGCAAATTGCATTTCTACACCACCCGCCAGGAGACACACACAGAATTAATGTACTAAAACAAAGTAAGATTTGTGACATTAAACATGATCGAAATATGTAGTAAGCATAAATGATTCATTTAAATTAAATAGAGAAATAGACAAGAGAATAAACAATAAAATAAAATAAAATAATAAGTAACGAGGAAAACGAGCAAAATAGAAGACAGACATTCAACTATACAATTTCCGAACGCACCTAAAAATTAAAAAAATAAAAATAAACAAACGTTATCTTGACAGATGACACTAGTTGTTGTCACTTCGGTAGAGTCGGTCAGTGCCGAAGTATGGCTCGCCCAGGACTAAATCTGAGCTCTTTTTAATTGTCTTATCACAATGAGATTAGGGATGTTTGTTTCCCACAGCACCGTGAGTTCTACTATTACTTCACGCTTGATTAATAACATATCATTTATATTATACTCATACGTAGAAAACACCCAAACTCCAAAACAAATATTTGCAAAAAATACAAACATTTGGTTCGAACCGGGAATCGAACCCAAGACCTCAGCAAAGCTGTCGCATACGCTGCCACTGCACCACTTGTTTTGCTTTGAGGAGTTCCATAAAGTTTTATTGTATAATTATATTAAACATTTTTTTTAAACTTATTTATCAAATAAAAGACAAAAACAAATATAATTCTTAAAATAGCATTCTTAAACCACTAAGTTTTGTAGTAAATGCTACAATTGGTCTACAGTCATAATGATACTTAAAAAAATAACGAAACCTACACAGGTGTTAAGAGTAAAACATTATACTAGAATCTAGTATAATGTTTTACTCTAATAAATAAGGCTGTTAGCAACATTTACAGGTTTATCACTGGCTTTCCATGTTCTGGAGAAAATGAGACTTCAGTTTATGTTTAATATTACTTGGAGTAATTGTATTTCGCAAATCGGAGGTTAGTTTATTTATTAGTCGAGGAACTAAGTCCAGCGATGTGCGCTAGCCATAATGATGTTTTTTTTTTGTTTTTTTTTTTTTTTTTTAAGAGACAACTGCCGCACTAGGAATAAATCCTGTGTCGCGGGGGAGTTTACAAACATACATGAAACGGACACAAAGTACACCCAGACTCAGAACAACAATTAAGTGATGTTAGCGCGGCCCGTCCATGGCCGGTTTCGAGCGGCCGCCCTCGTGAATGCTGTATTTCATTTTCTTTTAAGTGGTAATTAAAGAATTGTTTTTTGAGAATTATATATTTAATTTGTATATGAATAGGCAGTATATTACAATGTCTAAATAATCCATGTTCGTCGTTATGAAGTTGGTCTTTAATTTTCTTTGATACAATATTTTTTTGTTGGAGTTTAAACATTTGGTCTAGATATGATTTGTACCTAACTGCGACCGTAGCTACTTAGCCCATACTGAATAAGTGATTTGACTAGTGAGTTATATAAGCATAAGTTTAACTTTAAAAGGTATGCGTTTTTTTTAAATAATTATATTTGCTACAAATTGTCTCAACTTATCACAGATGTGTTCAATATGTTTACTCCAGCCGAATTTACTATCAATTTCCAGTTCAAGGTATTTTTGAGATTCTACCACCTCTATTTGAGGACAGTTGCAGTTCAGGGTGTTCATGTCATGTAAACAATTGTGATCGTGTGCAGTTATACTTTTAAGAGGTATGGTTTTGAATTATGGTGGTTTTATTATTAGGAAAACTACATTTAATAATTATGTTTGTTTGTAAACTCCTACGGATAATGCTTTGGAACATTTAAACATTACAGTTCTTCCTCATTTCTAATTTTAAAATTGCAGGTTTTTATTAAAAGAAAGCCTGTAAAGTATATAAAAGTGGGAAAGTCGTTTTTGGGTACATTTAAGCCGCCTTGCCCGTAGTGGTACAACAGACTCCTCGCCATAGTTATGAAATAAATATTTAACTGGCAACACAATAAAAAGCATGAAAATATTAAAATTTGATATATTATTATAATGAAAATAACAATTAAAACTATTATATTATACTCTTCAAGTAACCTCTAAATTAATAAACAGCTCCAAAGCCATTATAACCAAAACCAGGGGCAGCAAAACCTGGTGCAGCCATACCAGCTCCATAACCAAATCTTCCAGGAGCTACGCCAGCCGCATGGGCCGCTGGACCATAAGCAGGAGCAATACCCTCACTTACAATACCAATAGCCCCATCACCACAACCATAGTTAATACCACCAGCTCCAGCAGTCGGTAAAGCGCCTTCGAAAGCAATTGCTCCTAAGAAAGGCAATTCTCCAATTACAGACAAACCACCTTCAATGGCGTTTTCAGATACTACACTTATTCCAGTAGGAGAGATAGGTGATGAACTGGTGATTTGGAAACCACCTCCGCTCGTTGGGGCTACTGCTCTTTCTCCGTAGACGCCATAGGGAGCTCCATATGCTGGGCCATTAGGGTAGCCGAACGGGCTACCTGCTTCTGCTAGGAATGCATTGCCGATGCACTGAGCTGAGATACCCTAGAAAATAAAGTTTCTAAGGTCAGTGGATAGAGAAGAGAAACAAATATTGTAGGCAAAAACTAAATGAATAAAGACGCGGAAGAGCAATGGTGTGGCACAAATGGGTAAGCTCAACCATAGTGAAGTCTTCAAAGAGTACCTGAGGTTATTAAAGCCCTAAACCCACTCCTCTAATTGTAACGTACTTGGTTGGAGTCGGGCAACCGTCCAGCCATGAAAGGCACAAGCTGAAACCCTTTCCAATATCACACTTTGTGCCGACCCCAATTAAATGATGATGATGAGTAAGTAGATTTTCTACTACTATTCTGAGTAATTCTGAGTATATAAAGTAGGAGTGGAAATTATCAATAAACTCTATTTATAAATAAAGTGCTGATTTGAGGATCTCTTTATTCAAAGTTGTTTACCACAAATTACATTTAAAAACATGTTAATGTGTTTGTGTATTTTACGAAATCAAAAGCTTCTTAAAAAGGGATTACCACTTTCTATCAAACGAACTGATTGCTTGTTTTCATTATTAATGGTATAAAAATATTCAAAAGCGTATTTAAAATTATTTAAACATCTTAAATTTGAAAACTTACCTGTACCAAAACGGCAAAAGCGGATACAACAAAAACCATGGCGGCCATTTTGTTTTTATATTGATTTAGTTACAAAGGAGAGAAAATATTAACTGAATGATTCTTCTTTCGAGCCTAAGGCTTTTATACAATAGTATTACAAAAGTATTTTATAATCGATTTTATTACAAATACGTGACAATCATCAGAAATCCAATAATAAATATTATTTAATAACTCTTTTACGATAAGATAAATTCTTACACTTGTAAGAAATAAGAACTCTCTGCTTTATCACGTACTTGCTGACGCACGCAACTTCGCATGCGTCTCTAAAAAGAAGCAAAATATTCCGTACCGTTTTTGCAACATTCTTCTTTGATTGATGCTTGCCTTGATAAATGGGCTATCGAAAAGTAAAAGAATTCTTCGATTTGAACCAGTAGTTCCTGAGATTAGTTCAATCAAACAAATAAACTCTTCAGCTTTCTAATACTACTATAGATTGTAACTTGTTACAGGGCTTCGGCCATAGCCTATTAAAGGAAAGCATAATACCGTCGTATTAGCCTTAGTTACGAAAATGAAGCTTAGGTAAATTTTCGTTAGCCAAATTAAGGCGTTTAAAACATCTTTGCCTGTTCCTTCGTGAGTGATTGTGTTATATTGTCAGCGGTCAGAGTCATTCTATTACTGCTCAGTGAAAATCTTTAGGTGTTTCTATGTTAAAGACAAATCTTTCACTAGGAACTATTTCTGTGTTGCGGGAAATTTACAGATACACAGACAACAAACATGAAGAACACTCGAGACATTTATTGTTCCTGTTGAGAATCGAACTCTCAACTTCCGACTCGACTTAATGGATAGACCTCCGGATGGCATAGTATAATAGTTTGTGTAACGGATCATCATCTGGATATAGGCCTCTCCTTAGGAAGGAGGTTTTGGCCTACTATACCACGCTGGCCAGACGGGTTAGTGTAGCCCGTCACGGATGCGCAGGTAAGGGCGGCTGTTTTACGGATCCATTCATAGAACACCGAACCTGGGCCAGATGGTATACCTGCTCGAGTGCTGGCCCAAGCCCCCGACCATATGACGGAGCTGTTGTAGCCGCTTTTCCTCTCTGGCGGACTACTCACCGGCTGACCCAGTGGAGAGATTCAAGAGATTACCTCAGGGCGCCTTGTATGAGAATAGAAGTGTGTGCGTGTGGGAAACCTATGGGACTCTTTAGAGGAAAAACAACTTACACCTCAGTTATACATACATGTATATTTCAAAGAAAAAGTAGATCAAATTAAACTAATCAAACAGTGTGGGTACAAAAAAAGAAAAAAAAAAACCGCAGCGGTGCGCGTTAGAGCCGAGCTGATGGTGCTCGGTGCCTCCTCGTCGTCCCTCCAGGAGGTTACTTCCTCTTCCGCCCGAGTCGGCTATTTATATTAGATACGGATAAAAGTTTAACAATCTGCAATTATAAGTTTAAGTACGTAACTCTTGGGTACGGCTGTCCGCTTGCGTCGTGAGCCGCGCAATCACCAGCTTTGCCAGAGGGTACCGAGAAACTTGAGTCTGTACCAGAAGGCCACAAAAGAGCAAGCACGCCGTCTAAGACTGACCATCTTGACCCCGAAATCTGGGACCCTACGAATGGATTAGCACTCATATAATTAAACAGGTTCCAGAAACAAATAGGTTTAAGTAGAATTAAGAACATACTCACCACTTTAGTGTGGGTACTTTTGAACAGATAATATATTAAGAAAATCAAATCACACAGCAATCAAAACACTATATAAGATCGGAAGGCACGAGATAGCAGTGTCTCCCGTGGCAGAAAGCCGGACTTATATATCTTCGGTTAACGAAGCTTCCAGAAAATAACCCCTCTTCAACATTTTATTTTGACATTTAACATCAGTGAACACAGAAGATCAAAACTGTAGTTATAAACTACCTTAGATAAATCAACAACAATGCAACGCGGCTAATAGATGTAGCTTTTAACAAGACCGTACGCTTTACTAATATACCAAAAAAATAACTGTTACACCACCCCCTCCCTCAAAGTATTGCCTGCGTAGTGTGCGCAGGGAATATCCCCAACAGGGCCAAAATCCATATAAGTGGTTTTACGAACCCCGTGGTTTAGGAAAACATTCTATACTATGACTCGCGACTACAAAGCCTGTGGTTATCCATATAGGACACCACATGACACAACCTGAAGCCATCCATATGGGACCCAGCACGACAGTAGGCCGGAAGCAATCCTCATAGGACACAAATAAGAAAAATTTTGACGTAGTCCGAGACCACAATTGAAAGAACATTTCCCATGTAGGAAATGTAGTGAATGGACCCCTCAGGTCACAAAGGGGTGTCCTGAGAAGGTCTAGTCAGTTATAACTACACCGGCTAACCTATCTAGAAGGTATCTAGCCCCAACTCTAATAAGACAATTTATAATACGAAACGGAGTCACCTGAAGAAAAAACCTGTTCCAGTTCAAAGACCTTAAGCCCGCTGACAGACCATGTCAGAGGCGGCAAAGGCAGGAACAGCGGCGATGGCATTAAAGCTGCCACGCCGGATAAGCCGCAAAGCAGTACGCATCTCACTTCGCAATCCGACAACCGCATCCTCAGGATTCGCTGAAATCCCCATGGAAGACAGTTCATTAATAAGTTCATCAATTTTTAGGTAGTTAATGCACTTACGAACATGTGCCATGGTGGTTTACAATTTAAATTCGATTATACAAAAAATAATCTTAACAAGTTAACAAACTAGTAATGCAGACTTAATGTCTTTTACAGTTCAAAAAAAGTAAAAAATAATGATATTGAGTAGACTTCTTCACTAATAACAGAGTGTGAGAAGGTTAAAGTAAATTAATATTTAAAAATATTATAACAAAATATTAAAACATCAAGTAATATCTCAAAGTAAAAAATATTGCTACTGAGTATATTTCTTCACCATTAAGTGTGAGAAAGCTAAAGCAAACTAATATTTTTAACAAATATTATAATAAAATATTAAAATATCAAGTAATATTTCAAAGTAGAAACTGAGTATACTTCTTCACTATTAAGTGTGAGAAAGCTAAAGCACACTAATATTTTTAACAAATATTGTAATAAAATATTAAAATATCAAGTAATATTTCAAAGTAGAAACTGAGTATACTTCTTCACTATTAAGTGTGAGAAGGTTAAAGCACACTAATATTTTTAACAAATATTATAATAAAATAGTAGTAAGTAATTCTCAAAACTTGAGAAGCAAATTCAACTAAAGACAAAGATATTCTTGTTTCACAATTCAAGACACAAGTTATACTATCTCTAGAACATTAACACAGTAATGAAATGACAAAGTTTTTTATTATAAAAGTTAATTCGACAAAAAAATTTAAGACAAGTTATATTATCTTTAGAATATTGACATAGTAATCCAATGAATTGACAAAGTTTAATTATCATAAAAGTTATTTCGACATAAATTTTAAGTAGGGTATGTATATCACAAAACTATTTTATTCTAATTTTAAGCCAAGAGGTTATATAAAAAAATGGAGGGTACATAAAACTTTATAAGTTAAGTTAAGTTTCAAGTAAATTACACCAGTAGTACTGGGAAAAAAAACACTGAATATACACGTATGCACAACTTCACGCTACGGACCTCAAAGGTACGAACAGAAGTAGCTAACACAAAAAAAAAGAAGAAAAAAAAAAAAAACTAGTTAGGCCAAAAAATGTTTCAAACTCACCCGAAATATGTGCAGTTGGAATTTTGAGTTAATTTGGAATTTAGGTGTCTCACTGATTTTCCTTGCCTCAGGGATGATGGTACTATAGGCTGAAAATACAATGAGGGTAAAATTATTACATGCGTACTGCACCCGCACAACCAATTAACGTCCTGGGGAGTATCGGACGGAGGGAAGTGTCTCCTCCAAAGTGAATACCCTTAGGCACCCTCACACAGCACACACACCGAGGTTTGGATCGCTGGCCAAACGTTGGTCGCCAATTTGTAGCCGCTTTTCCTCTCTGGCGGACTACTCACCGGCTGACCCAGTGGAGAGATTCAAGAGATTACCTCAGGGCGCCTTGTATGAGAATAGAAGTGTGTGCGTGTGGGAAACCTATGGGACTCTTTAGAGGAAAACAACTTACACCTCAGTTATACATACATGTATATTTCAAAGAAAAAGTAGATCAAATTAAACTAATCAAACAGTGTGGGTACAATAAAAAGAAAAAAAAAAAACCGCAGCGGTGCGCGTTAGAGCCGAGCTGATGGTGCTCGGTGCCTCCTCGTCGTCCCTCCAGGAGGTTACTTCCTCTTCCGCCCGAGTCGGCTATTTATATTAGATACGGATAAAAGTTTAACAATCTGCAATTATAAGTTTAAGTACGTAACTCTTGGGTACGGCTGTCCGCTTGCGTCGTGAGCCGCGCAATCACCAGCTTTGCCAGAGGGTACCGAGAAACTTGAGTCTGTACCAGAAGGCCACAAAAGAGCAAGCACGCCGTCTAAGACTGACCATCTTGACCCCGAAATCTGGGACCCTACGAATGGATTAGCACTCATATAATTAAACAGGTTCCAGAAACAAATAGGTTTAAGTAGAATTAAGAACATACTCACCACTTTAGTGTGGGTACTTTTGAACAGATAATATATTAAGAAAATCAAATCACACAGCAATCAAAACACTATATAAGATCGGAAGGCACGAGATAGCAGTGTCTCCCGTGGCAGAAAGCCGGACTTATATATCTTCGGTTAACGAAGCTTCCAGAAAATAACCCCTCTTCAACATTTTATTTTGACATTTAACATCAGTGAACACAGAAGATCAAAACTGTAGTTATAAACTACCTTAGATAAATCAACAACAATGCAACGCGGCTAATAGATGTAGCTTTTAACAAGACCGTACGCTTTACTAATATACCAAAAAAATAACTGTTACACCACCCCCTCCCTCAAAGTATTGCCTGCGTAGTGTGCGCAGGGAATATCCCCAACAGGGCCAAAATCCATAT